GTCAAGAAGTTTTAGATTTGATATACGTAATTGATGATCAGTTGATCTCTAGACCTATGTCATTACAACACGGAACAAAATTGGGGAAGTGTAGGTCTATTGAATATAGGCTTATATACTTTATAAACAGTTATTTGAGATTCTGCATGCCACTTTTTATGTATATACACTTTCTATAAATATTAAAGTTATGCTGTGAACCTAATGACTTTAAAAATACGACGCATAATCGTAAGTTTCTTTTAGTAAACTTTATTTATTTAGTGTTCTGTCTGACGACAGGTCCATATGAACAGGATCCTTCCATCCTTTTCTCGGACTGGGACCTGTTCATATACGTTCTTGGCAGATGATCCAGAAGTGGTTTGCCATTGCCTTCTTCTGTGTGTGAATGGAGTAATTGTTGGGATGCCACGGAGAAACTGGGGAAGCCCCCGGAGGAAAACCCCGTGTTGCCTAGACCACGGCCTTGCCCAACACAAGTTATAAATTCGGGCACCGCCGGGAATCGAACCCGAGACCCCAGGATTACGTAACGGATAACATAATTAAACAGTAACCGCTTAATTACCCTTAAATTTGTCCAGTGTTGCCTTACTCTGCTTCACTTGAGTACTTACACTCACCTGCGAAGGTTTCTTTCGCGAGAAACCTCACGAGTGTGAACGATAACTTCTAGTGAACGCGACAGTTCCAAGCTCCGGTGAAGCTCGACTAGTATTTAAACTGAGACGGTTCAATACAACAGACTAAAGCTGCTATAAGCATATTAAGGACACGTACGAGCCCGGCTTAGAATACACATCAAATCTACTCCAAAAAGACCCAATAAAACAGCACAGTATGTATTACATTTGTTCCACGAGTGGCTTATGCGAGTCTAGATGTCACAGAGATAGTTAACAGCCATTACCACGAATTTCGAAGATGACGGAGTAGAACGGACGTAACATTGCATCTGTGGCACAGGATAAGTATTGAGATACTATGTTGAACAGCTACTGATAAATGACCCAACACCAAAAAATTTGTTACATGATTTTCTTAGCCAGTCTCTCCAGAAAAATGTCTGGAAAAAACTTTAGAAATAAGCCAGAACTTCCTCCCTTTTAATTTAAAATATATAAAAAATTTATATACTTGCTCAATTTTATCAGTCTAATCACAATAAAATATTATTATTAAATATTAAAATATTAAAGTATTAAAATATTACTCTGGAAGTATTGCCGTGTTTGAACTCTTCCAGACGGACGAACCTCCTCCTCTCTTCATTTATGACCGATACAAAAACAACTGCAAAACGTTTCACCCACCAAGATCATGTTAAGCGCGACATACATTACGAAAC